TTTAAATTTAAATCCGAGTTTCTGAACTAGACAATCAAAGTCTGTGTTGTAGCCACGACTCTACTACCGATTTGGCCTGTGAAGAAAGCATTTAACTGCTGACACGCACTCCGCCTGACTTCGGCGTCGGCCTTTGAGGGGGAAATGCTTAGGAGTGTTTGGGCTCTTGCTGTACCCTGAGCGCTCTGCTTTTGGTATTAAAAGCTAATTCTGTACATAGCTTCCATCACACAGCATTCTGTTCCGCATACCGAGAGCCCAGCACGTGCCGGGACGGGACAGCTGGTTGTCTTCCCGCCGGCCCTGCGAGCCAGCCAGAGCCTAGGGGGCATTTCTGCGGCGCGGATTGCCCCAGCCAAACTGCAGGGCCTCGAGGAGACACGAGAGGGCTGTTGAAGCTCCGAGATGGCTATTGAAGCTTCGGGATGCTTTTAAGTACACTGAGTTTGCTTTGGCGTTTGAATTCGGTCAGCTTCTGGGATAGAAATTGGGCGGGGGAGTGACTTTAAGAGTACAGTGTTTTGCACCTTTCCCAGGGGAAAGAAAAGGTTTGAGAGGTTTAGCTGGTGAGGAGGAGCCGTGGCCTGTTCTGTTCCCAGGTATTTATTGAAATGCGATCCAGAATGTACAAGGAAATGTGTTCGCACTTCTCTCCTGACTTGGCRTATAATAACACTTACTGCTTACTCTAGGTATGTGGAGATTAAGTTGATGACATTTTATTACCTAAAAAGCCCTTCTTTTTTTTTCTCTTTGTAAGTGGACTGCCCAAGTCTTAGAGCATCCACTGATGTCTCATGAAGAAAATTTATGAAGTTTGGGTAAGAGGAGGGAGCATAAATTCTTAAGAAACCATTTTATTCATCTATACTTCCAGTGTCTCTGTTCTTTCTGGCACATTGCTGAATGTCTTTGAAGAGAACAGCTATTCTTGCTCCCTGTTCCTAACTTCAGACTCTCATTGTCTATTACTGGACTTCTTCTCAGTGCATCACCAACAAAAACAATGTAATTCAGGGTTAGGACTAAGATTTTAGCTACTAAGACTTTTTTTTTCCTTTTTTAGYTCCAATATAAATATAACCTAAAAGTAAAACTTAGAGTAAAATAAGTTTGTGTTTGCTCATCCCTGTACACAAAGAATAGATGAAGAGAAATACTTACTTTCTATTTATGGAAAAAAAAATAAGCTGATCTTAAACCAAGAATCAATTTGTATGGCGAAGGTACTTTTTTCAGTGTAATATTTGTGTGTATGTGTGTTGATATGATGCAAATGGCAGGAGGGGGAAGAGGAGAGGCCATACACTAAGAGTCTGCAGCCTTTAAAATGGAGGCCCCCAAGGGGCGTCCTCCGAAAGGAGGCGCTTTGCAACGCTGCTCGTCACGAAGCCCGGATCTGGTTGTGACCACTAAGTGATGAGCGTGCTGCCCTGCAACGTAATACCCTCCTGGAAATCATGGAGTAAGTTTTGACTGCAAAGCCTCAGTGAAAGAAACTAGTGGATTTTGTTGACCTGGGTGTGCGAGCGTGCGCTTGCGGAGCCGGCTCGCGGCTGCGCAGGGAGCTCCTGGTTTCCTTTTCCTTTCTTTCCCGCCATGCTGAAGCTGTGTGTCCGAGCACACCGTAGTAGCCAACACGGCTCAATTTTTCCGTTTGAGTTTAAGGGCATGCTGACCCTGTCATGACCTTAGTAGCTTCCTAGGATTTTCAAATTAAGCGGGGAAGCGGTGACATTTAAAAGTAAAGTTCAGAGGCTATTTTCAATGCAAATCCACCTGTTAATTGGATTTCTTCTTCTGTGATATGAGAGTTCTGTATTTTTTGTTCTTTCTGCAGGTTGGAAGCTGCCTTAAAATCAGTCTTGCTTTTGAAAGTGTTTTCTGAGGCCATACATATCAGTTCTCTTTCGCTTACTCAGGGATTTTTATTCCTTTCGTTAAATGTCAAATAACAAAGATATTTTTGTATTATTTAGAAACTTACAGACCTCTGAGATATGTATGTGTACATTTGGTTTTGGAGTGCAGTCTGTAGTATGGTGTCAAACTATTCCATTTAAGAATATCATAGTACTTGAGATTGTCTGTAATTAGTTTCACAGTCGATTAATTTCCGTTGTTTTCTGAGTTCCTTATAAATATGTGAGACCTTCTTAGAGTTTTTGTAGCTGTTTTCACTCGGTAATGTTTGAAATGTGCCTAGTTTGTGATAGGAGTTCAGTCAGATCTCAAGATCCTAGAATAAAGGATGTAAAAGGGAAGATCATAGATCTGCACTTATTCTGTATTCAGAGGGCATGTCATTGGGTGAAAGAAAGGCATACACTCCTCAGCTCCTCCTATGTTATTATTTCATTTGGACCATTTTAATTTCATCAGAATAAATTAAATGAAAATGCCTTATACTCTCCATAGAGGCATCTTTGACCTTGTGAAGAAGAGAAAGTCTGATCTATCTTGCTTCTCTGTGGAGGGGAAAAAAAGGGGAAGCGAAATGACAAAAAAAAAATCACTTTTCTGTTTTTTTTTTTTTTAATAAACCAGGTAAAGTATCCCAGCAGACATATGAARGTGTTTTCCTTCCATATAAAAAGTCTTTATTTGAATAGTTCATAAAAATACAATTTGTCCTCAATAGCAGGCAGCATAACCAATGGAAATAATGGAAATATAAAAGGTATTTTAGCCCTATTTTTTTTTAAGTTCTTAAAACATGGCTCTTCCAGTATTGAAGGAAACTTTGTATACATCAAAGTCTTGTCATTGGCTTTGCGATCATTATTTTATCAACTTCAGGGAAATTAAATGAACTTTGAAAGAAAATTCAAGCATTTTTTCTCTTTCATCAACTTTTTTTTTTTAATTGTACTCTGAAGAGACCATCTGATTTTTCTGTCCATCTTTCTTRGAAAATTTTATGAAACAGTTGACCGAACCTTTTCACATGGTTGCTCAAGGCAGATTTCATGTTGTTATATGCCGAACACCAACAGATTGCTTTTAGCACGCTCAGTGTATTTAAGATTATTTATCCTCGCAAGAAGATCTTTGTCACTAGTGTCTGTATTGGGCAAAGAAAACCCTAAACCCGTTCTGCATTAGCCAGATGCAGGTGCCTGGGCCAGGTCTGGCCGGCTGCAGGGGCCACTTTCTCTTTGGTCCAAGGCTGCTTTTTATTGGGGAGCATCTTCCCGCCGACTCCCGCTGTGTGGGACAGCCCTGTGGAAGGGCTGCTGGCCCAGCTGCTGCTGGGGACAGCTCTTCTCAGAGCTCACTTCTGTTTATTTGCAGAGTTTGGTCACTGGGAAATGACAGCTCGTGTAGCTCTGCTGCTGGTGCTTGGGTAACTGAGSAGGAGCGTCAGAGAGAGGCACCAGGGCCAGTCTGAGCGTCCCGGAGCTCTGGTCGCTTCACCCGTTTCGGTCGCGTACAGCARCTTCTCATAAATTTTATTCTCACCATCTTTACTGCAAAGAATATGCTAAAAAACTTTCAAATGTCATTAAAATGCAGTGCACTTTCAGTGATCTATTATCTTCCTTCAAGGCAGTGCAAACGTATAAGGAAGGAAGGGTTTTGCGTGTGTTTTGGATATAACTAAAGCTGACTGCATAATTCTTGCTGGTATGATAGATTTTTTTTTTGTTTCGGGGTGTGTGTGTGTTAGTTTACATCTATTTATTTACTTGGTTTTGAAACTTGCATCATCATGAAGTTTTACTTTTTTATTTTTTAAAACTATTGATTTGCAGGGACTGTTGCCAGTTTCGCTGTTTGTAACAGATATTCCTGGTAGCCAGGGGCTTTCTGCTCTCCCAGAGACCGGCACAGCCAGTGCAGTGGGAAGATGCCTGTGGGCAGCTGTGGGAAGACCTTCACCAGGGGCCGCCTGGCTGCTCCTGCAAGTGAGATTTGAGAAACTCGTGCATTTTCCGTGGTCGAGCAGTTTGCCATGCAAACCTGGAGGGGTTTTTTTTCCCAATTTTTTAAACATATGTTGAAAAATGGGTTTTGYTTCCTGAGCAGACCTTGCATCATTCAGAATCCTTGGCATGATGATTGGGTAGCTCCAAGTTGTGGATGAGAATCATGGAATACTGTTACCTTTATAATCTATATTAGATCTCTGGGTTTTTTTTTTGTGGGGCTTTTTGGGTTTTTTTTTTTTTTTCTGGAAAGAATCCTAAATGAAGAAACTCTTAGATTATCTTTTAGTTTCTTTGATTTTGCAGCCTTATAAATAAAGTGGGTCAGTTGCATTCCTGGCGTCAGTCATAGCCCTATTAAACCAGAGAAGTTGCACCCATTCTGATGCAAGTAGAGAACTGGGCTTTGATTAAAATATTTGGAACTATGTAAACTATGTAACAGCTGTCATAAAGCARCCTGAAAGTCAGGTTTGTTTCTGAAGGAGAGCAAACTGATCTAAAGCCTCTTCTCTCATTAACAGGGTAGTGCCAGCGCTGTTTAATGGATACAGGAGAGGGCAGGATGGAGGGAAGAATTTCCAAGTGGCATTCTTGAAGGAAATTGTCAGGAAATAATAATAAAATAAATAAAGCTTTTTACAACTTTGAAACACCAATAACTTTAAAAACCACATCCATATACAGTGTTAAATTACTTTTTTTTTTTTTTTTTTAAATTCCATTTTCTTCAGTATAAGCTACACATTTTAGGAGAGTTCAAGAATTGGAGTTAATGGATTTAATTAATTACTTAAACTTAGGATTTAAAGGATTTAATGCTTTTCAGACATAACTCAGAAACAAA